TTTATAATATCCGATCACGATCCATGTAGAAAGTGATCTCTCATTTCTTTGTTGCCAATATAATAGACAAATATAATATTACTAAATAGGTGTCAACATGAATGCCAAAATTCAAATTATCATGCTGATCTGTCTCAAGCAGTTTTTAAATAGTAAGTTATAAATTCGCCTGTAAATTTCACATATTTCAAAGTTATACGTAAACTAAACATTTTTTTTCTCCTTATTTGAATCATGCAGCAATACTGAGGTTTTTATTTGCCCATCGTACCAAATTACCTTTGACAATTCAGAACATTCTATGCATTTTTCATTTGATTTGATACTACCAAAGAGAGAATATGATGATATTTCGTATTTGATGAAACTTTATTTGATGATCATAGATCAAGAAATGTTTTGACCAGTAACTCAAACTCTGAGTCACATCGCTGGTAAAAATTGAAATTTTTATTTATTTTTTATTTAATTTTTATTTTTATATATTTTGAAGAAAATATTTGGTTATTTTTATTCAATTATTTCAATACTATAACGCAGCAAAAATTACGATTTTGCCCTTAGCCTAAAAATATAATTAAAAACATAATTAAAGTAAGGAAACATAAACAATTCTAACTCAATGTTTAACCGTAACAGGTGCGGATAAATAATTAAAGAGAAAAAAAAATGTTTTCGAAGTTAATATAATTATTTGGAGAAAATAGTTTTAATTTTTTAACTAGCAATAATCGCAACTCAGGAGACCTTCATATGGTTATGATATAGCCTCTGCGCTGAGTTTGAGGCCCTGGGATCTCCTTGCGTCCTGTCTTTCCTTCCACGAATGGAGGGAAAGGCTTGGCTCGAAGATCTGGAGTGAATGAATTTAGTTATTGTACAAAAGCATGTGTGTATTTAAGTAGTTACTTTGATTAGTTTAGTTTCTTTTTGTTTTGTTTATTTTATATACATTTTCTTTTAGTATTATCATTTTGCTGTTTATTTATTGTACATAGTGTGAATGAGCTACTCTTTTATTACTATTACTGTTGCTGTTAGATGTGACAGATTGTAATATATCTCAATAAAGATTTTCGAAATTTTTATATAATTTGTCTTCTTCTTCATCTAAAAACAAAATTTTTGATTTGCCAGATATCAATGTACCTTTATCACCTCAATTTTGCCAAGCTGATTGAAACATTAAGAAAAATAAATTCTTTCCTGATTTATGAACAACAAAGAAAGTTTCATTAAGATCTGAATTCACAAAATCCCCTTGCTAGTATAATTTATAATCTGTTCGACATCACTTGATTTACAGATAGTTTCTAATCAAGCTTATAAGGTATGCTATAACTCACAGCTAACAAGCTGTCAATCATGTAATATCAAACATATTATATTAATTATATATATAGTTATAGTTCAAATAATTCAAATTATCCTGTGAGATATAATTTTAAAATAAAAACAATAATAACATGATGATAATATAAAACTTAAACAAATTCTTTCCTGAATTATGTCGTACATATAGAGGAATAAATTAACATAAATTATTACAGTCAATGTCATAGTTTGCAATCATGTCTACATGTTTCATTGTTTTTTCACACATATATTTCGCTTATCATTTAAGAATCAGTTTTTATATGTTTAAGCTGATGTTTAACTATAGATTGATAGAAACGGTATCATAAAATAATTTTCAAATTCCACGCATATCTGTTAAACGAATTTCACAGTTGAATGAGACCTAATTGAAAATGGTTTTTTTTTATCCGTTTGATAAATAGAAAAGTAATGAGAAAATCAATATGAATAAAATCATAATCCATAAATTAAACATAAAATGGTAGTTTACTTGACATATCTACATAACACCTTAGCACCATTGAGGGGAGATTTAAATATACAACTTAGTACTGAATTATGTTGTCAGTAAATAATTGTTTCTGCCAAATTTCATTCTTTCAATCGTATTGATATAATTTCAACGAAATTTTCTAATATAATTAGTTGTTTTATATTTCTAATCTAACATAATTGTTTTAAAAGATCAAATTAATGGTTTGAATAATAAAAATAACAAGAAACCGTGAGCGATAGAGCTTCGTCTCTGAGGTCCTGTTTTTTTTATTTTTTAATTAAAATTATTCCATTGGTGCTAAATAGAGAAATGTTGGAAATTATTGCTCAATGATTTATTATTTTCAAACATTTAGAATTCAATATGTACACTCTATCCACACATTCCACTTTGCCCACCAAAATGGAAAACATTTATGTGCTAAGATTATTTGTTTAATATATTTTTTCTTTTTTCTGGGAAGCTGTATGTTATTCTTTGTTTTTGGCAATGCTGACTTCCTATTGAACAAAAATTAATTTATTTGTTGTATTTCCAAATTACATGTTTACATGTTAATGTTTCGGGATATTTACTCCCATCTTCAGAACTACAATGCCAATGTTTTTTTGTTGATTCGTGGCTTTTATCTAATGTGCTCCATTGCCAGGTTCTAAATTCATGTTATAATAAATTAAAGTATATAATATCCAGAGTGTAATCATGCTTTTAGATCAAATTATTGGGTGTCTGCCCTTTGGATGTGAGCATCATCTTGCAGACACCCAATAATTTGGTCCGAAAGTATAATGATGCTCTGGATATTATATCCTTTAATTTATTATAACATGAATATAGAACCTGACAATGGAGCACATTAAATTTAAGCCATGAATCAACAAAAAAACATTAGCAACAAATAAGTTAAAAATTTCTGGACATGTCGGAAATAAACGATTTAGTTTCTCACTGATGCAGTAAAACTTCCAAATTTTATTTTTTTTTCTCCCTTTTTCCAACAGTAACATTAGCTCGTCCCAGTGTGCGATGCACAGAAAGGTGAAGGAATAGTTCAGTTGGATATTGGGAGGAAAAATATAAAGATTTGGAAGTTATATCAATAGTGACAAACATATATCAATTTTCGCCATACCCAGCTATTTTCAAGTTAATTGTCGCTCTGAACATACTTGAAGTAAGAAAGAATTTTTTTTTAAAATTTAAAAATGTGATAATCTTTGTCTAAATCTAATTGTATGGGCTAGACAGAATCATGCACTGCAATTAAATCCTAAGACACAAACAATGCAATGCTTACAGTGATGTGAAATAGGGAAACTATTTTGGTAAAAAGGATTTTTTTAAATATTTCTTTTATATGGCATAATTATTTGAATAGGAACTGCTTCGTTTAAATTGTATTGACAACAAATATTTTATTTTATTATACTTTTAATAAACATATTTATGTTCCTGAGAATAGCACAGGCAATCAAGTTTCAAAATATTGCCAATTCCTTAATATATGTTTGGTATTATAATTTGATATCGTTCGAAAAGAAAAAAAATTATAATGTTATGAGTAGAAAAGTTGAACTTCTACAATATCTTAACAATTTGTTAGTCAATTCCGATGCTCTCAAATAATATTTGTTATCTCAATTTAGTTATCACAACAATATACCAAAAACCGAGACGTTTTCTTCCAGTAAATAGTAGTAAGTAGAATTTTAGAGTGAAGTTTAAAATGAATTATATGAAAAACTCGTAAGACAAATGATAAAATTATAGTTGATTTTTTTTTTTTACTTGCCTGTTCTTACAAGTATGTTACAACTTGTAGGCATCCTCTAATTAAGAGGGTATGACCTAACTTCCCGCGGGGACCAGCCGTAGTTGGTATTAGGACCCTTCATTCAATCCTATGATCTTTAATTATTATATTATAGTTGCCTCATTTCAAATAATAATTACTTTATTCTAGACGATCATAGTACTGTAGCAGTGTGCAGCATGTTATTGTTAACGTAATATTTCATTTCTACATGCTTAACAAAAATTACAGACAGAAATTTTCATCTTCGAAACCAGAAAATATATTCACTATTTATAAGCAAATATAATTTGTCAACCAATCGGTTTGATTTAAAATTATACCCCTTAAAATACATTATAACTGGCAAACCTCCACTAGCCGTCACCTGAAGTTATAGCCCATGTCCAAGAAACCTTTATGCTCGCCCCACTGTGTGGTGTCGCTTCTGACTCGACAATGCTAAAGCGACTCGTGTCAAAGCGGTCGGCTAATACGGTCTTAACCGACAAATTATTAATTTGAGACTCAAGTATAAAGTTTTAGTTACTAGAATGTCTCAATCTGGGTAAAATGCCGACAGATTCGTATTAAACGTTAACTCGATATAATTGTGATAATTTATTCAGAATATTTAAAAGTAACATAATAGATAATTATTTAAAGATGAATTAATAATAAACTAAATAATAATTAATAATCAATTAAAGATTAACTATAATTAATTAATGATATACAAACAATTGATTGAAGATTAATAAATAAAGACTGATAATTAATTAATTAAATATTACAGGCATAAAACCTACGTATATCTAATTAATTTTTTTTAACTAAGCATTCAACATTTAGCTAATTTATATGGTATAATCATAAATACATAACAAAACTTGAAAATATCAACAGAAAGAAAAAACATCAGCAAGAGACAGTGCATCACCCTAAGATTCGAATCAAGATTCAAGATGTCATGAATTGATGAGCTATCTCTAGTTAATCGGTCTTTTTTTAGACTGTTGATATGGAATATGTTATCTTTGTCATGCATTTATCTGATCTTGTCTTTTATTTTGAACAATTTTATTAATATCACTCAAACTATAGATCAGCGGTCAAAGAAAATTTCGTTGAAATCATTTCGTTAATGTTCTAGTTGTAGAATATCATTATTCAAAATCAATCTGTATATTTCAACAATCGAAAATTATGGTATACATTACAGTTTTAAAAAGGTAATACTTTTACTGATATTATATAATAAATGACATTGTTTTTAGAATGAAAATGTTGGCAGAAACATGTTGGGAAAACCAAAATGGTGCGGGTTTCTGAAGGGTGTTCATCAAAACCTACCTGTGCCGTTGATTCCTGAGGGCCTGATCCTGGCATCGTAACTTGCAGGGCCAAGGATCTGATCCAGGACCTGTTTTTCCTTTTCTCTGTAGTTTATTTTCGGCTGTAAACACCTGAAAACAGATATATATTAAATTTAATTTTAATATTATAATAGAATATTTCTATAGGATATATATGTGTATATAAATTTTACATAAGAAACATAATTATATAATTCTATCACAAATAAAACATTGGGATGCGAAAAGAAGCATTTTATACAAGAATGGCTAAAAAATTCTTTTAAAGAATTTTTTTTTTAAACTTCTTTGTTGAGATATTACAATGTGTCACATTCAAGGACAATCGTAATAGTGATATAGAGTAGCTCATTCATACCATACAATAAATAAAAATAATAAACGGCAATATAATAATACTAAAGTAAATTGTATATAAACTAGATATTAAACTAAATAAAAATAAACCAATCTAACAAAATAAATAAATCAGACATACATGGCTTGAGTGGAGAATCTGGCCATTGCCATAACTCCTATATATTCTTACCACAAGTCTCTGGGCCACTGCCGCTTCAACCTTCGAGGAGGATTGTAGGGATGAGTAGTGCTAGAGAGGGATTGTGCAATTGGATTTGGATGATATGTAAGGTTTTGGGGAAATTTGGAAAATGTTTGAGCGATAAGGTCTAGGACAAATGGGATATTAAGGTCATGATGTAGGGTTTGGTTGGTTACACAGAACGGAGCATCAACTATTGTTTGAAGGACTTTGGACTGAAAGGATTGAATGCGTTTGATGTTAGAAAATTTTGCTGCCCCACAGTTCCAGTTCGTAGGTCCAAATAGGTTTCAGTATTGTCTTGTAGATCAGTAGTTTGTTCTCAATTGAAAGTTGAGATTTTCAGTTCATTAGTCTACATAGCTGGCCATATCGTCGGTTGAGTTCTTGTCTTTTGAGTCTTGTATGAGGGTTCCATGTCAGTCTTCGGTCTAAGAGAAAGCCAAGATACCGGACTGTGTCTGAGTAAGGAAGCTGGATGGAATTATAGTGTACTGGTGGATAGGATTTGCTTTTGCTTTTATAGTGTGAACACCGTCTTGCTGATATATAAGATAAAGAAAAATTAACGTCGAAGTATTTACTAAGTCGTGTCCATAACACAAAATAAACAGTTTACCGTAAATATTTTAAGCCTCATAGCACTGCCCGAACTACGGGGAGAGAGCTTTTTGGCAAAAGTTCCCTTTCTTCCCTCCGCTAAAATTTTTTTTTTTTGTCAATGGTCCTAATATATTTTTGTCGTGGTCCGAGCTAAGTACTACCACTACATATTAAATACTAAATACAAGTTATAAAAAAAAATAAGAAACTTATCTCTAAGCATTATTTTTTTTTTCAAGGACCAATTAAATACCATCTCATAGAGATAGTTTTTTCTTGTTCTTCCTGAAAAATTACCATTGTTAAAAAGTAAAAAATTAAACCTCCTCCCAACAAAAAAATTAATGCTTGGATCCAACACTGCCTCACATAAATTATTTTTTGTTTAGATGCATTAAAAAAAAACTTGATATCTGTTTTAGCAATTCATTTCGGTTTAAACTTGGCTCATATAAAGTGCCATATTTTTTAGAAATTTATTATGTTACAATAAATTATAATTTTATATCATGTATGGAATATTATTAAATGTACGCCTTTCTACTTTCTTAAATTTTAAAAACAATTTTTTCTCACTTGGAACCCCATACCAGACTAAAACGACTAGAAACCGCCCGACGTTTTCGACTACTGCAGCACTTATAGACAAACGCTCTAAGCTTTCAATCAATTACAAACGACTCATATATATGACAATAATAAGACCTATTTGGACTTACGGAATTGAGCTTTGGGGCTCCACTAAACCATCGAATTCCTCTCGTATCCAATCCTTACAATCCAAAATCCTTAGTAAAATCCTGAACGCTCCTTACTTTGTCACAAATAAAATCATCCATAAAGATCTTAATGTTACATATGTTTCCGATTTGGCCCAATACCTATCCTTCCATAACAAACTTCAGAACCATCCTAATCCTCTCGTTTCAAACCTTGCTTCCTCCTCGATCCCTGATAACCCTCCGAGGCGTCTGAAAAAAAGATGGTCTCGGGATCTTCTGATATAGAACTTTAATTTGAGATCTACCAATGGGTAGTTTCTCTTCATGTTGTACATGTCATGTTACCAATGTCATATTTACTTATTGTATTTTCCATGTAATACAGTTGTAAATTTCAATAAAATGAAAAAAACAATTTTATCTAATATTCCGATTTATTCACTCCAAATAATTTGAAAACAAAAATGACAATATGTATAGTTTATGAAAGACAATATAAAAATATTAAAAGACATTTCACATGAAACATACACTGCTAAAAATGCAAATGTAAAAGATATTGTAAACAATTTTCAAATACGTCACTATCAGAAAAGTAATCGGATGAGTAAGAAAGTACATATTCCATTATGGTATAAAATTTAAACTAAGATTACTAGCCTTCAATATAAAAAATAATATAACACATATTATTATGTATGTGATTTTTTTTTTTTTAAATTTGATATAGATATTTGTCGAACGATATTCGATAATAATATGAACGTGAGAGATTCAATATGATTGACGCACATGAGCAGCCACCTAAAATCCAACTTGAGCTTAAAAAAAAAAATAAAGATTCTAGATTTCTTTATCAATTCCTTTCAAACATGGACCCATAGATAGTTTTCGTGGTAGGAACTATCAGGGTGACCACTGAATGGGATGATATTTTTGGTTAAAAAGAGAGTATATTTAAAAAGTAAATCTTTTTAGTGGTCCCCATTAGCAAAAGGCATGAAACGATATCGTTCTTAGCAAATAAGTGTAATAGTTTAGTTTTCCGGTTCCGTTTTCTTGAATTTTAACTAAGAACAACTCCACGGTATTACAAACTACATTTTAGTCACACTCTAGCGATTTCGTCTTTTTACTCGTAAGAAAAAAACTGGAGAATCACGAGAGGCGTGTTTAAGATCCTTTTAAAGACACAACACGTCATGTCTTTTATGTAGCAAGCCTGGTACATTGTTCGTAAATATCGTGCCATAGTGAATTATCATTACCAATTTTTTTTATAAAGTGTTATTTTCCTGATCACTTCTTTTGCTAAATCCCCTGCGTGCTTTATGGCTTTTTCTCAACCTCAGATCGATTCGAGGCACAGAATGCTTTTTCTCCGGGATATCCTCCAGAAGCTGTTATATTGTTTCCAAGGATGATGGACGACATGGAATAGGATCATGATGGTGGATCACGACAGACGAGCATTACCCTAAAGACGTGAAGGTTAGCGTTTTCCTCTTAGTACCAATACCTATCGTGCACGGTGTCTTCACTAGTCGATATTATACCAAATTTTCCCTAATTTCTTTAGTTCTTAGATCATGCAAGTCTTACTTCTACTATTTGCTGAGAGCTATTCTTGAGATTATGCTTTAAAGCACGGAGAAACTGTTTGTTGTCCCTATAAGTGTATGAACTCTTACAATACATTTTAAATTTGTTGTAATTTTTTTGTCTATCATTTTTCAGTAAATCATTACTTTAGTCCTGGAATAAAATGTATCAGTGAAAAATGTTAATTATAATTTGCAAGAGAAGCAAGGGTCTATGAGGTATTAACACCTTCAAAAACTGAAAAAAAAAATCTGGTGTGCGCAACACACAACTTTCACTTACCGATCTACTATGAATAGAAATTATTTTCTGGCAATGCTGGGCTATTATAAATTTTTTTGAAGTGCATTTTAAACGGAGCTAAAGCTTAAAGCTTACAGATAACAATTCATTAAGATCATTCATTATAATTACAAAATGTCTATTTAATATATCGACTACTGGCAATAAAAATCTAGTCACTCCATCTGCTTTTATAAACCACACAACTTTCTTTGCTTTTATAAACTTCAGAATGACTAACTCCAATTTCAATATTTTTAAGTGATGTCATTTTAGTGATATTTTTAGTTGAAAAAGTTATCTATGCAGTCAGTGAGTAAGTTGATTCCGGAGGTGGTGATAGCAGTGTTGAAATATATAACTGAGAATAAAGGTATAAATTTAGGTACTTATTTCTTATGAAAAATGTTCTTAGAAAAGATACTTTATTAAATATCTGTAGGAAAAAGTTTTTTTTAGTCTCAACAATTAAAAAAATATATTTTAAATTTATCGAAATTTTCGCCTCTTCAGGGAAAAAAACTGGAGACCATATCTTTCCTCCTAGTTGTCCGATCTTAACGAATTTTTTTTTGTTTTTTTAGGAAATTCCACAAAATTAAAAAAAATTATACTATAAAGTGTATATTTTTTGAGTTATTCGGAATTTAATTTTACCATCCCTCGTAACTTTTTTTCCAGCTTCTTTTCGTTGAAGTATGTTATATAGATAAATTTAAAGGGTGTTGAGAAAACGACTAGCGAAGTTTCATTGAAATCGGTACATTCGTTTAGGCACTACAGTCTATAGCAACGTAGGTTTGGCTGGATTTTTTTTCTCCTTTATTAACTTATCAAATTCTTTCAAAAGTTATATTTGGCATTTTTTCATTACTTTGAATAATGTGAAATGAATAACTTTTTAAAATAAACCATATTAAAGGTACTTTAGAGGAAGACTATATGAACATTGGGCATTTACATTGGCCCTGTAAAGTGACATCAATAGGAATAAGACCTAATTGATATTAAAGACCACTTAATTATACAATGATACGATTTAATCAAAATCGTTAGAGTCGTTTTTGAGAAAATTGTGAAAATGTGTTTCAGCGTTGATATAAAGTTGTACTTCCGGTTAGCCGATGTTAAGAAAAAAGTTGCCGTCACATCTAAGGCATATACCTATCTTAAATACGTAATATCAGTTTCGTAGGACTTTTTGTTTTTGAGCTAGACTGCTAACATACAAACACACAGACACATAGACCATTTTTCGGGACTTCGTCATTTCGACTCAGAGTACCTCAAAACGTCTATTTCCGTTGAAAACTTCTCTCGATTCAAAAATTTTCTCGATC